AATTTGGATCTAACAATAAAATTATTTAAAATGGTTTTACAAAACAACCTGATCCGATACTCTTTGATTATTGAGCTTTTTACCTCAAATATATAACGTTAAATATTTAATTATTCCTTCATTTTTTTGCATGAAAAGAAAAACATATGCTGATTGGTTAACTATTTAGAGTGCTAAATGTCTCAATGAGAAAGCACACTAATCAGAGTAGATTCCTAGTTTATGGACAATGAACTTCAGCTAACTTTCTTAAATTTGGTAAATTTATTATTTATTTTATGTTCGGCTTTTAAAAGTTCTCCTCAAAAACACATTGTGTTCTCCTAGTAGCAAGAATCCAAAGTAATCGTTGTGCAAAGTGTTGTTTTTTATCTTTTGAACCTCTATAGTCTAACAACAATATTGTCAGTTTAACAATAACATATTATTAGACTACTATAGGTGGTAACATTTGGGGGACATTTTAACTACTACAACACTAATCTACCATAAACTAAACAATTCTCAAGAGTGCTCAAACAAATTAATGAGATTGAATTTTTATAAATATCCTAGTTTTTTCTTAGTATACAGTTTAAAAGGTGTGTATTTACAAATATGCTTCACTCCAAAGATGATTGGGAGTTTGAAAACCTATGTATTATTAATAAGAAGTTGCTGTAAAATACTATTATAATTAGTTGATACATTATTTTTTGTGTTTAAAAATTTATGAGAGAAAGCTGCTGCAATGTAAATGTTAAGCTTTTTATAGTTATTGTATAGCTTAGTATAATGAATTTGATTCTTTTTCGCTCAATACATTTTCACTGAGACATTGTAAGTATAGACCAGCTTCACCCTGTACTGTATATTTGTAAATCGTACCCCATTGTTTTATTGTATTGTATTTATTATCTAAATACAAGAATGCTCTTATATCATTATTGCTTTTGTTGTTGGCTTCATGGCCGTAAACCCTTTATGCTTGTGGCTTCCTATTTTATTTCCTTCTGTTATTTAGTTTTCAGCACAATATTTTCATTTTCAACTCAAAAACATACATTTACAGGCGATTGTGCTATATTCAATCCAGTTATTGGGTTATTGATTTTATTTGTAAATTTTAATTAAGGCGCTGACCCCTTAAGAGGTAAGGTAAAGTTTCGGGAAATTATGCAATGGCACCAGTCCAGCAAAACCACTGCAGGCTTGAAAACAAAGTAATATTTACTTTATAATTAAAGAAAATCAAGTTCGGGTGAATTTGACACTGAAATGTATTTTAGAATTTTGGGTGTTTGGTACTGTACCTGTGGGAGTGTTTCTGAATTTAAGTTTATCCTTTCAAAACTTTTTGGACTATAAAATAAGGTTTTAAAAAATAAAATAAAAACAAACAAATAAAAATACACATAAATCCACAGAAAGCCTCATTAACAATTACTTTAAAGCTTTTCAAATTAGGTAATGTATTGGGTGATTTTCATTCAGTTCTGCTTATTTTGTATGTTCAACATTTTATAAAGATTGCTGCATAAACTCTAACCCTTCTCATATTTTTAAACAGCCATTATTTTTTACAAATCATGAGATTTGTACTATAGGCAAGGGCAGCGAAGAAGAGTTAATTTGTGACTGTCACAACAAGACCATTAACTCAGAATCCATTGTTTTCTCACTGTTTACAAACAATAAAAAACACTACCATTTTTACACACATTATAACTCTCCACAATTTGATTATTGAAATCTATTATCTCACTACTGATAATGATTCCTTCAGACAGGTAACTACTGCAAAATAAGCTTCTACTTATATCCAGCCATCCTGTCATGAGTTAAAAGGATAAACTGACAAACTGTGAAAGAGAAATTCCCTATCAACATGCAATGCATTAGATCCCTTTAAGAGGCAAAAAAGATTTTTTTTTGTATTTGTTGAGAAAACTACATGTTAGTAAAGTAACTAGAAGTTAGTAAAGCATGTCTAGACAGTACCAACTCAACTAAAGCAAAGCAAAAGTGCACACAGTTTAACAACATATGTGGTCAATGGGTACACTGGCAACAGATGGTATGAAAGGCTTCAGCCGATTTTATAATGTGAGCGGTCTGAATTAAATTAACTTTATTTTATTTTATTTTGAGAATCTGGGATGAGGAAACCAGAGACAGACTGAATATGTGAGATTCAAATTCTCATATTGAATTAACATTATCTTGTGATAAATAATATCAAGTTCTCTCAGTCATTTATCAAACACAATTAAGCATTAGCCACAATTATTCCTCAACTAAACCTTACTAAACAACCCCTGTAAAGGTTAAAGAAGAGTACACACAGGTAAAACTTGGGCAACATGTCTTCAAGAACTTCTCTACATAAAATAGTCACAATCGTGCATAAATTACCAGAAGAAGATTTGAATGTTACTTCTTAGCCTAAACTGAAAAAGTTGATGTTGATACATTGAAATAATGAAAGTGTCAGTTACCAAATTGGTTTTAGAGTGATGTTCAACCTTAGGGTTGGATTACTTATACAGTTCATAGGCTCATAGGCATGATATTGAAATAGGTTGATATTGCAATCTGGTAGGTTTATGAAATTAGGTAGAATATCCAGACTCTACAAGTGTAAAATACTCTACGGTGATAGTTAAAGTGTATACACTCTATATTGTTGTATTCTCAGGCTTTAAGTGGCCAGTGAGAAAAAAACCTTACCAATTGTAAGTGGGTTTCAAAAAGAGAAATGCCATTTACATCATTAGAGCTTATAAAAGACTACACTACATGAGACTACCTTTTTACAGTATTTTTACACTACCTTTTTATGGATACAAACGTTTGGCACTTAATTAATTTTTAGTTTCAACCCATTTTCCTTGACTTCCAAAATAATTGTCTTTGAGTACCTACTCATTTAGTTCTACAGCTCATACAAAACGGAAATCTATACCTGAAATGTACCTATTTCTAGTCTGGTTTACATAGTTAACTATTCAATTAGTTCATTTTACCTTGGTAGTCAGATATTTTCATGCATCTTTGAGAATAAACAATAAAAATAAATCAATTCACATGTGCTCATTCATAACAACTCAGGTTTTTATGACATTTTTAGAACATGGCTAGACATGGGTTGGACTCTTCCTTTGTAAAAAACTTAAAAATGCCACAAACAAAACATAAACAAAATACCCCCGCCGGATGAACAGATGGTGTTTTTGGCCTCTAGGGACCTCAAAATGAAAAAAATATCTGTCCCGGGTCCAGGTCTTACCATGAGTACTACGGTAATAGCTTATTCCCTATATGGGAAATTCGCTAAAAATGTTCTCAGTAACAAAAATAACCAATGCAGAACAAGGGAATTGAGTATTTTAATTAAAATTTGTTATTGCATTTCATAACTGAGTCTGTCTAAAGGGACAATTCTTAGATTGTAATAAATGTATATTTAAAAACGTAAAACTCATATGGATTTATGACATTGTAATTCACTTTCAAAAGAAGAATATTTGAAGAATGTTTGAATCACTGTACAAAAATCAAACCCAATAGGTTTTGGGTTCACGTAAATCCCAGGAAAAGGACCAATCGTTGGATTTAATTAGCTTAAATCATATATATATATATATATATATGAAACCACTATGTGACAAATGGATATCGACCAATCAATAAGGGTACCTAGAAATAATAGTACGGCGGATTACTATAAGTATACTATAAGTAGATAGAGCGATAGAGGTTTTATGATTTTTATTTTATACCATTAAGTATTAACTTATTTGATTTTTTAAAGCTATAAGTTTGGTTAGATAAGCGTGATAATATCCAGAGAGGAAAGAGTGAGGTGTTTAAAAAATGGGATGGTTATATCTTGAGCGTTGACTTACTCTAGCTGACTTACACATAGTGTAACGTAGCTACATCAGCGTTACTTACGCGTTGCTTTGGTCTTACTAGCTATGGCCCTGATGGATGGGTTCATTAGTGAAAACTATAGTTTTTCCAAGTGCAGAAATTCAAAGATATAAAGTAGCGTCATTACTTGCATTATACAAAAACCAATATCTAGCTTACCATTGTAAGCTAACGAAAGTAATCTCACGAAGTAAGATTGTATACTTCGTGAGGTACACTAGATCAACAGTTAAGATTGCATTCTTAATCTAAGTACTCGACATATTTTATTGGTATTAAATCAATAACCAGCATTTCCTAACACGTGAAAGAATCTAACAGGCCAATATACGCTTCAATAAAACTGTAGTGGATATGAAAAAATAAAAAAAACATTGTGGTTTAGTTATTAAACAGTCAAATATAACACTGTTATTTATTACATTTATTTAATTGAAGTTTCCTAAACTTAGCTATGCACAGGAAAAGGTATTATTAAAATATAAACATAGGCCTACAAGCCTATAGTATTGTACTACAGTAACATTCCTTGGATATTCAAAACAAAATTTTTATCCAAGAACAAAATGCCATTTTATAGCTAACACGTCAATTTACTGACAACTCAAAATTTAAAGACTATACGGTATTAAACATTAAAGATTGGTGACTGGTATTTCTGTAAATTCACCACTTGTAAACAAAGTAGTTTCAGATTTTGATTTGATCTTTTTTTAATTTGTCCAGCCTTTAAATAACTTGTTGTAAATATAATGAAAGTCATCCATACCTTTTACTGCAAAGCGATTCTTGTAGTCGTACGGTTCCAGCTTGGACTCTCTGATTTGTGCTCATTTATAACAAGTCAGGTTTATATGACATTTTTATGAAAGTTTTTATACACAACAACACAACAACTGTTTCATAAAAACTTATGAGTTCATTTTCATAGATTATGAACTTATGTCTAAATAGAGAAAAAGTGACACCTTTTGCCCAAACCGGTAGCCTAGATAGGACTACAAGAATTGCTTGGCAGTAAAAGGTATATAAACCACTTATATTGAAAATTATTAAAGTTTAATTAAAATCATATCTTGTGTTAGGATGGTTGGAGGAGTGCTAGTGCTTCAAGACGTACATCCAGGGATCAGCAGACATGTGGAGACAGAAGATACCGGTCCGAGTCCCGCCTGGGCCTTCGTACACCAGAACCGAGGATGGGCATGAGTCCTAGAGAACACGAGCACTGCAGTTTGTGGGATAAGCACGACCAGGAAACCAAGGCTTTGGTCCAGGAAGAGGAAAGTCCTGAGATAAAAACTCCAGATCTTGTCACATCTGTGAAAGAGACAAGGGCACAGGAAAATACCATAGCAGAGCTCACCAGTGAAGGTAAAGACCTCAACTCTAACCAACCAATCGAAAATATCAACGCAATTGAAGCAAACTTCACTATTACACCCAAACCAGACAAAATCTCTACATGCGTAGATAAAGCCGCTAAACAAGAGGGAAAAGAAAATATCGTGATCACAGAACAGAAGAGACAGGACAATGGAGACACCAAAGATACACAAAATAAGCAACATGACAATGAAGGATTAACAGCAGCTACTGTAAGCAAACCTCTGGAAATGGAAAAAAACAAACAACAGGACAGTAAGTCACTAAAAACTGATAAGGAGGATAATTTTATTGAAATTGCAACAACTGATGTTAAACATACAAAAGAAATAGCAAATAAGAAAAATGACCAACAAGGATCAGCAACAAATGTAAATAAACCTCAGGAAGTTGAGGAAAAAAGCAAAGTAAAGAATAACACATCACTTGCAGAAAGAATCAAACTGCAGGATAGTACATCTCATGTGGATAAAAGCAAACTCCAGGATACTTCATCTCATGTGGATAAAAGCAAACTGCAGGATAGTACATCTCATGTGGATAAAAGCAAACTGCAGGATAGTACATCTCATGTGGATAAAAGCAAACTGCAGGATAGTACATCTCATGTGGATAAAAACAAACTGCCGGATAGTACATCTCATGTGGATAAAAGCAAACTGCAGGATAGTACATCTCATGTGGATAAAAGCAAACTGCAAGATAGTACATCGTCTAAAACTGAAAAGGGGGATAAGTTAAGTGAAACTGCAAAAACAGGAAGTGTGAAAAACACCACAGAAATAACAGAGCAAAACCAAAATGTTTACAAGAAACTAGAATCAAAAGAAGATACTGTAAAGGAAATCAAAGAGATTGATTGCAAAGAAGCCGTTGGTAACATCAATGTTTCAAACTCACCTGACAGTGGTGTTTCTATTTCATCTGGTAATGTAAATAATCAAAACCGCGCAGATGGCAACATGATGCAATCAGATGTAAACACTTTGTTTCCCAAACCAGGAACAAAACAAATGTAGTCTTGTAGTTTTATACAAGTAAACTAACTAACTATATTTTCATTTTGAAAGTTTTGCCTTTTGTCAAATAAACATTCCATCTACTAATTATGGAGCTTTTTTCAAAGTTTTGTCTATTTTCACAACAAGTTAATGATTTGCATTATCTTTTTTACTTATTAACGTTTTACACAAACTGTAAGTCTAGAACAGTAGTTACTGTTTGTGGTCAGGATAAACTCCAGGAAAACCAATACAGTATTGGTACTATGAAAATGTTTATCTGAATTGTATCTTGTCATGTTTCACTCCTTTTACTCTTATAAAATAATTATTTATACTTACAAAAAAATCATATCAAACGATAATGTGTATACAAATATAGATCATGGCTTTCTATCTTAAAAAACACTGATTTGCTTAAGGATATTTTAATTTATATATATTGACAGAAACAAAAATAAAACCGGAATTATTTAACCTTTACAGGTTTTGTTGTGTCACTTTCTTAATTGTACACCAACACATAAAAGTATTACACTCTTGCTTCCAATGTTTATATTTAAATAAATTGATATTTATAGGAAAACTGGTTCTATTATTTTATTTAATAAGTTTAATCTCAACAAATCATGGAAAAGTAAGGAATGGTATTGCAGATTGTACAAATTTTACAATTTTTTTCATTATTATGCGTGGTTCTTCATGTGGAATACTTTGTTTTTTTCAAATCCACCAATCTACATACATGATTTCATTTAAGGTTTAAAGATGGTCAGTTTAAGTAAGATATATTAGGTATATTAGGAACTATTACTGTACACCATTATTATTGTATGGTGGGTCATGGTGGTTATGAATGTAATATTTTGGTTACACATGCAGCTTTAGCAAAGATGTCCTCCGTGTATTTACCTTAATATTTCATCCCTGAAACGATTTCAACTAAACTTCGGACTACAGCTTAGTTAATCTGACATTTAATAGACATTCAAAGTTAATTCCATTAATTTTCTTAAGAATGTTACCACAGAAACATAAAAAGTCTAGTAATTCTTAAACTTTTTTCAAACATAGCCCATTCAATGAACATGCATCTATTAAGGCCACCTTTCGTCTTTATTTTTAACATATGACTGTTTTAAAGATACAACGAAGGCGGTTTTATAAGTAAGGGTCGGTTTCACATATAAATCTGTAGTTCGCTTATACGCCGCAACAAGCCTCATCATCAACATTTATTGGCATCATTTTTAAACAAAATGACACAAATTTCAGCTCTGCAGCTGTCATGTGCGCTTCGCTGTGTGTTTTTAAATTTTGTTTAACAATCAAATCTCTTCTGTGATGTTTTTTTTATTACAACTACAAGGAACATATCCGATGCCGACGTTCATCGCCAAATGACTGAAGAATATGTCCCTAATGCCATGAGTGAGAGTAAAGTGCGGGAATGGGTTATGGAGTGTAGAAATGCCTATGAAATAATTTTTCTTAACAGTCTTTTTTGAGAAGTCTGGGTACCCACAAAAACACAATTCCTTCTGAAATGAGCATTTTCAAGGTCATTTTAAAACTCCCTATAGCCTATTTCTGCACTTGCCACGCTATCTTTGCATCAGGGCACAGCCACCTCTAATACAAGGCCGCGGCGAGTGAAAAGCGGCAACGTCGCATCAGTGTCTTGGCGTTCGGTCGTTTTACCATTACAGTGAATGGTGGAGTCGCGTACTCTACGTACATAATCGCGTTTCTACTACCTTTAATCATTAGTAATGACATTAAACTTCTTACTACAGCATGCCAGATAGATGTGATGTGCCTGGATGCAAGAATAATTACGATAGCTCAATTAAAAATGAATAATATATACAGTGTTCTAAGATTCTACTTGATCCGTCGCGTAAGCAACAATTGCTTTCTGCTATTCTTTGATCAAATTAGACATTTTAAAAATATTCTCGTTTTTGTGTAAAACATTTTTCACAAATATGAGCTTAAATTAAATTTGTAAAAAAATGTAAGAATAAGAAAATTTTTCGTGTAAATATAGACGCGAGAAGCAAGTTTAAGGTAGTAATACCGTACTATTTCCTTATTTATTTGTCTATCTTATTGATAAATGCTGTTGTTAAGTGATTAAAATAACTTAAATAAATACCACTTCAAAGAAATAAGCCGGTGTTTCTGTTAAGTAGGCCTAGTAAAAAAATATGTACTACACCATCTAACAATAAAAGCATCATAGTCTCCGAATCCAGTCTGAATGTTGATGTGATAAAAAAATTCTATTAATATTATGGAAAGCCATATGGAGGCATAGCTTCTGAAATCGTTTACAAAATGGCAAACGTTTTCTTAGTAATTATTCAAAGAAAATTATTTAGTCATTATGCCTTCAAAATGAAAACTTCAAATTTTGTTGTCGCTAACTTATGGTTTCCTCAGGTAGACTAAAACATAATATTCCTATTAAAAATTTAAAATTAATTTTATTTGAACAAATTGTTAGATGTTAGTCTCTACAAATCCCAAAGTCTCTACAAATATTGAAGTGGCAATAAGTTAGTCATACTGTATAACCGTTATTGGTATAGTAGCTTTATTTTGTAAAATTTAAGCACAGTCTGTCTAGTAGTTTTTACTATGTTCAATAACACGGATATACGGATTACGGACACCATGAGATTGTTATATAATAGTGTAGATTATCAAATTAACAAAGGAAATATTTAAAGTCCATCTATTTCCACATTCATCGTACTTACAATACGATAAATGCAACCAAAAAAATTATTTTTGTATATTTTTAGTTTTAGACATATTGTGGTAAGTTGCAATTTTTCACTAAATAAACAACCTAGATTACAATTTTGTCTATTTTACCATACCTTAAAATCTACTAAAATATGTTATTACGTATTTAAATACTTTCATTCATTGATACAGAGCAGCAATACTCTCATTGATGATCATAGCCTAGCGTGTGTGAAGACGGACGCAGAGGGGGTGTGATTGCGGCGTTGCCAGTTCGAACGTCGCGGCCTTGTATTAGAGGTGGCTGTGATCAGGGTCATAAGGTGTATAGTCAATGGTCATAATCTCCAGTCATCTGGCAATAAATGTTGGTATTGAATGTTTCTTATAATAAAAAAAAAAGTATCACTGACCTTACCTCAGACGCGGCGGGAGATTTGATTGTTTAAAAAATTTTAAAAACACACAGCGAAGCATACATGACAGCTACAGAGCTGAATTTTGTTATTCATTGTGACACTTGGCTGTAATATATAATTGATAAAATAGAAGAATTACCTTATCCAACCACAGTTGCTGGTACGACAACTAGTAACGCTCCTTATAACTTCGGGTCATTGTATGCAACCACATCATCAATGTATTAATACATTGTGGTATGTCAAAAGATTCTTTAAAACACTGTCAGAATCACCATAGTAAAAACTAGTCATGTTGATCAAATTATTAAAATTGAATAAAAAGTGATAAAACTGGTTAAAACTGTAAAGGCTGGCCAGCAATGTCTTATCACTGTCACTGACTAAATAAAACTGACTGAATCATGATGTGTCTTCATCTTCATCTCTCCAGTGCCACCTGTATTTCAGTTTGTTTTGTTCTTCTTATTTAATACTTCTTTGATTTTTAGCTTGTCAATATATGTATCAAATATAATATTTGACTGGAAGGAAGTCTGATTTAAAATATGTTGAATGGGTCGAGTTTTTTAGCTTTGTAGATTGAAATTTGTGTCATATTAAAAAATATGACATTATTAAATATTGTCGCACATTATTAAAAAATAATTATTAAAAAACAATAATTATTTAAACACATTATTAAAAAATATTGTGTCATATTAATACCGTATTAATATGATTTGAAAATTGTTAAAATTCAGTTTTCAAACAGTTTAAACTTGTATTCAAACCATTTTATAGTTATTATAACACGAGTTTATAATAGTTTTAATACAAGTTTGTAACAATTTTATCACAGTTTTGAGTTTTGATACAAGTATTAAATTGTTTTTAAACAAGTTTCATCTGTTTCAAAACTTATTTACCATTAATTTTTAACTCCAATTAATACAAAACTGATGCCAAGTTTCGTCGTATTGATATTAGTTTTCATACAAGTTTAAAACTTGTGTTATAACAATTTTTGGCTCATTTTTCTGCTACTTGGGAAGGGTGGGAAGTAGATAGAAAGGGAGTGGATAACCTATAGAACATGTTTTTGGCCTCAGATTTCAATTAGCTCACTTGGACTGGGAACTCGATGAAAATGTAATTTACAGAAATGTAGCTTTATATGCCTATTGGATTGGTTCTGTTATCCTGTTTCTTCCAACTTAGCCTTTAGTTCTCATTTTAAATAAGCCCGATAAGAGGGTTGAAACTTCAGGAGGAGTACAATACTTTTTTGATAAATTTATGCACTAAAATCATATTTTCTCGATATTTGCATATTTATTTTCATTCATTATCTTTATTCAATTATTTGTATACCCAGTTTCAAAAACCAATACCAATTCAATATTTACCTTGTTGTTTGATTAGCTGAGTTCTTGATATTAGTTTTAGGCCTATGTGATTTTGCCGCGTGATGCAGCATCCTCTTACTCTTTTAACTGGACACCAAACTAACTCTAAAAATATACATAAACCCTGATTTAAGTATTTATAAAAGGGTGTTTTTTTAGTATGGACCGTTTGTGCGTATACGTCCCAACGAGGCTCCTTCCCGCAATGGCAACATTTGTGAACAGAATAGCGCCTTTTGCAGCTCTGTAGCTGACGGATATGCATTACAGTGTGTTAAGAAACTTTTTTACTCTTACTCCCATGGCCATCGATACCCAAGGTGGTATTTGGCCTCACCAACTAAATGCCTGCATTGGTTCCAATCTTCAGCATCTTCCTCCATGATTCTTATCTTCCTCATATCTTTGGACACTTCATCTTTCCACCTCATTTTAGGACGCCCAGGAGGTCTTCTTCCAACAGGGTTCTCTTTCCAAACTTTCTTTATCAATGCATCATCTTCTCTCCTTAACACATGCCCGAGCCATCTTATTCGTCAACTTTTTGCTTCCGCCACAGCATCTGGTGCTTTATAAGGCTACGGTTACTATGGATGCGAATTCTGACGAAATTTTGTTCTGACGAGTACGTCCGAAAACCTCGTCCGAACAATGTGGTTACACTGCGAGCGTATTCTGATCTTCTAGCAGTCAGTACGTGTCAAAGTTGCCCAGTGAAATGGATGAACTCGATGAAGAATATTTACTTGAAAGCCCGTTATTAAAGATATTGCTATTGAATAGTGGAAAAACAGAACATGTTAACAAGATATTTGTTAGTAGAGACGAGGTTGTTCGAGCAATATCTCTGTTGTGGTAATTCATGTCCCACAAACACCTGTTCTCGTACACAATACTAATTAATTTCTCAATATCCATGGTGAAATAAGCTATAACTTGCAATTCAACGCACCAAACAGTCGCTGGTCGCACGAAATAATCAAACTTGTTTGAACCCTCAGATCGTTCTGACGATATCGTGTCCATTCTGACGTCTAATCCGCTTCCACTGTAAACATACTCATTAGACAGGGGGCGTTTGTTCGTTTGGACGACTTCGTACGAACTGATCAGAAGTAGTCAGAACAAAATTTCGTCAGAATTCGCATCCATAGTAACCGTAGCCTAAAGGTCTCTAATTCTCTGTTATGTTTGATCCTCCATTCATCATTTTCTCCTGTTGGTCCAAAAACCTTTCTTAGTACTTTATTTTCAAAGGTGACGAGTTTTTTTTCAGTACTTTTGTCCAGAGTCCATGTTTCAGAACCATAAAGCAGAATTGGACGAATCACAGTTTTGTAAATTTTTAGTTTTGTGTTGACAGAAAACAGCTTTGATGATAATAGTTTATTCAAGGCAAACATACTTCTATTGGCTGCAGAAGTATGTTTGCCTCGGAACAGGATTGAATTTAAGAAACTTTTTAAAATGATTGAATCTCCTGCTGCATGCATGATAAGGTCAGTGATGAGTTTATTTGACCACAAGAAACATATCCGATGCCGACATTCACTAGTTGACTGAAACGTGTAAGTCCTAATGCAATGAGTGAGAGCAAAGTGTGGAAATGGGTTAGGAAGTGTATAAATGGTAGTGAAAACTCCTCTGTGGTCTATGTGAGAAGTCTGCGTACCTTCCAAAATGGTAATTTTAAGAGTCCTTGGAGGCTAGCAGCCATCTTGGATAGTTTCAAACAGCTGCTGAAGAGTTATTTATAGTCCAAAAATATTTTTTCAAAGACCAAAGTGATTATAATTTAAATATCTAGTATACTGTGAGATTAGAAATGTTCTTTGCAGTTTTGAATTGTATTATTGAAATGTATCTCTATAATTGCATTAAGACCATATACTTTTGTCATATGGCAATGAATGTTCTCCAGCTGATATGTTTCTTACAGTCAAAAAAGATATCACTGACCTTATCTGGTATGCAGTAGAAGATTTAATAATTTTAAACATTTTCTAGACACACAGCAAAGTGTATATGGTAGCTAAAGAGCTTCAAATGGTGCCGTTATGCTCACAAATGATGGTAGTGAGCAGCGAGGAGCCTCGTGGCAGCGTACAGGTGAGCTAAGAAACTATATGTATATATATATATGCACAAACAGCCCTTACTTAAAAAAGTACTCTCATATTAATATCTTTACAGAACATACATAAATTGATAATTTTTTTATCAGATTTATGGGAATGTTTTGCTTGCCAATATATTCCAAGATGTTTTCTAAATGATGAGTATGGAGTGGTAGTTCTAACTTTGAAAACACTCACACAAAATAAATACAAGTCCCTAACAAGGAAATAACTGTTATTTCTCTAATGGTAGAAGATTGGATCTAGACTCAGTATATGATTGTAAGGAATTCATTTAGTTGTGTTTTTATATTTATCTATTAATTTATAAATTTTCTTTTAATTTTAAATTCAATATAAATTAAGTAATTTTGTTTTTCTTGATTTAAACACTTTTAAAACACTTTAAAGACTTAAAAGATTACCTCAAAGGTAGATTAATGTTTTATAAAAAATGTAGACATAATTTTTTATATTGAATATTGTAATCTCTTACTGTATGTTGTATAATGTCAAGTAAATGTATGAAAATATAGTCAAATAGGGGGTATAGTGACGCATAATTCTAAAGCAATGATTAGGCTACTCTGAATTGTCCTGTAATTATTGTTTATGCAAGATAAACAGTTGTCAAAGTCTATTGCAATTTGGTGTTTACGGTAATAAATTATTATAATTTTTCCAATTTACCTTTGCTTTAACACATGCTTAGGAATGAACAAATCATCGATATCAAAACATGTCAATTTTATTGAGTAAAAAGTACATTTTGTACCACATTGGAATCTGACAGTAAATGCAATTCAGTTATTCACTAAGTATTAAATATTAAATGTACATTCCCTCGCTAGTCATAATCACTACAAATATTAGTAACAACAGAATAGTTTAGTATCACAAGCTAGTACATAATACTGACAAAAATCTTTCCTACCAAGCAAACAGATTGCAGAAAAGAAGTCAGGAATAACACTGCTACTGTAAGATATACAGGTATCTTATTCGCCAATAAATATAGTAAGTCATAGTGATATAACAGCATCAAATAAATACCTTCAATTGCAGTCCAACTAGTCGGAGATATATAAAACTATACTAAAACCTTAAATGCGATTGATTCTAAAAATAAGATTTTTATCCTAAAAAGGATATTAAGACATGATTTATGTCTTTTGCAGATTTCGATAAAAACTATTTTTAAAAAGGGATCGCCCTAACTCTAATTATTATACGACGCTCGGTGTTACAGTCTAATTGGCCTTTCATTGTATAAAATGGTATACTATTTACAAAAATATTCTCTTAAAAAAATAGTCAAGTAAAATTTGATTAAAATTACAGCCGTCTTAGATTATTATATTTCTGTGCCGAGCCAAGAGACGATTTCAAGTACCACTTTTGTACCCGTCTGTTTCAACATTGACACGGCCTTGGAGTGCTCTACCTTCTCTAATGACTGTCCATCAACTGAGAGAAGACGATCTCCACATCTGTGAACAGACATAACATTTGTATAAGATAAACCTGAACTAGGGTTCTACCAGCATGACTACAGTATAATGGTTTCTTCCTAGTTACCAATTTGTAAAAACTTAGATTCATACATAAATGTTCAATATCAATACAGTAGTCTGTCGATCATCTGATACACTCGGTAATCAGACATTTCGATGAATAAATCACCAATCAAACAATTGTACCAAAACAGAAAAATTGCACCGGCAGTCTAGACGCTACATCCATCCGGTCGTAACACAAACCTCACCGTTGTTGCCTTTCACTTGTTAAAAATAAATTGTACTTTTTCGTTTCCATGTTTGTGTTCGTGTTCGTGTCCGTGACCATGTTCATGTATAATGTGTGTATTGACGACCTTCTGATGAAGTGAATTGACATCCTCTGGACGCCCGAAGATGACTTCATGAGAAGTTCAAACTAGTTGCGTCATAGCAAAAACATTTTTGGATTACAAGAAGCAGGTATTTACACCAATTTTTATATTCAACGTAATCCGGAGGCTAACAACAACAATGACATTGTACCAAACTGGAATTCAATTCATTCTGTGACAGGACTCTCTTGTATCCTTTCAATCGCTGATCCAGTCAAATACAAGTTCCTCATAAGGAATACTGAAAAGTAAGGATTATTATGTAGAAAAGTATGTTAATTTTTTTTTTAAATATTTATCAATTTAACATAAGTAACTAAATTCCATACATTTAAACTTGGGCATTTTCAGCAATGCAGGTAGGCCAAATTTAATTTAGAAAATGGATTATACTTAAGGATTAGACATACAAGATACAGCTGTATGCAAGTTAAACTAAATCTAATAGTTTTTTGTTTTAATAAATATGGTTTTTTTACTTCAATTATGCTTTAACTTGATTAATGTGAACGTCTAATAATAGTCAAAGATTACAACACAAGGTTTAATGAGGATTATCTGTAAATCAAGGTCTTCATCAAGCTTCCCTCACAAACAAGAAAGCTAGTTGAAATCTAATACCAACGTTGTGTTCCTTATTTCATTTACTACTATTCGAGATTCTTTGATAAGTCTGGTTTTAGTAGGCATACCAATCAAGTCATAATATTAGTTCAAGTCGTTGTTAAAGAAAATTGACGCTCCTACCAAGTAAGAATCAGGTTTCTGTACAGTGGACTCCCTCTTATCCGGACACCTTTTAACCGGACATCGGTTTAATCGGACTACACTCGCTGGAAATTATATCTCTTTAACCGGACAATTTTTATCAGCACGTCGGATTAACCGGACTAGATCGGCAGGAAGTCGGCGGTACTGAAACGACTGTTCTCGTGGGAAAGATTTGAGACACTAAATACGTAATAATCATTATTGGCTTATGCAGTATGGATCCAAACAGTCTGTTTTAACGAGTTTTTGGGGAAGTCGGTTTAACCGGAAAACCCGTTATCCGGACTGGCCTCGGTCCCGAGGAGTCCGGATAAGAGGGAGTCTACTGTAGTTATGTTTCTGTAGGAAGAGGTCAAATCCCTGGTAATCACTGTTGCCAGATAATAGATGAGTATGCAAAATTGATTTGTCAAGGAAAATGTGTGTTTATGCTTGGGGAATGAATAAAAGCCTGTGCATATCGAGACAAAGGGGCCAGAAAAGGGTCTTCATCAGTTTCCATATCGTGACATTTATTGAATGTAAGCTAAATTTGCTTGCTGACCGGTATGTTTCAGACTTCCTGGGCTCGCTGTAGTCCTTGGTAGTAACTTATTACTACCAAATAATATCAAAATCACACAATGTGTAATGAAGGTACTTTATGCGTTTCGTTAAAAGTAAACCACTTTTATCATGGTTATTCAAAGTATCTCAGAGTAAAATAGGTAAATCCTTTATCTTAACTGTGATTTTTCTTGACACAATCCTCGAAGTAGTAAAAGGTTTTGTTTTAATAATGTGTGGTACAGTAATAGTGACTCCACTATTATTTCGATAGTCTTTCTCGCTCAGTCATACCAAGATCCACATGCAAAATTCTCCTGCTTTGTGCAAATGAGACTTGCCCCTGGACTGATTTAAAACACCATCCGTTCATACATATATACATTATATAAGTGTCCGCTAGCACGATAACTCAAGGAAAAATTATCCGATTTGGATGCAGTTTGGGACAAACAAGTAAACATACATTTATTCTAATTAGTTTGCAAACTAGCATGATCTGTCCATGGGAACTGGATTTAATAGAGGGTTATGGGGTTAGAACATCAACCTTTGCAATTTATTTCCAAACCATATTGAGCTTGAGAAAACAAATAATTTAGTACATTGAAGCATCGTTGTTGTGCGGAGTGTGTAATGGTCACAGATAAAATTCTAAAAAATTGTAAATTCAATATGCAATTGTTTTAATATTTCAATATGCAATCAGTGATACGTAATAAGATTGATAAATGATACAGGTCCAGTTAAAAATATCTCAATACATAATAAAAGAATGGGTTAAAAAGCTAATCCCTACTAAACTAATACAGGTGCACAAAGATAGTTAAGAGATTTTATACTACAGTTTTTGTTAAAATACTATATAAATCTTTGAAATAAATCAGTTTGCAAACTATTGGACGTATTAAATAAGATATTTATTGATATCTTACCAAGACATATTGAAACTTGCTGGTTATAGATTACATTTATGCCTTAAAGAAACACAAATACAAAAAAGAGGGAACAGAGTTTCATAGCTGAAATCATTGAGACTACACAAGTGGCGACAATTAAGGAGGATGAAAATGGGTCATTATAACGCTTCTTTCACAAAACATTTACTTCATAAAGAGGGAAGATAACCAACTGGGGCTTGAGTAAATTGAAGATCCTAGAACTGTATTGTTTCAGTACGTTTGTATTTTACTTTAAAGAATTAAATTTTATACAAATCTGAAGGAAAAACCTTGAGTTTTATAATTCAAATAAATTTCATTCAATCTGTATTTGTGTTGCAACTGGAAGAAGTGTTTATTTAAAAAGGATTTATTTGGGTTTGATTAAATCTAGCCTGTTTTGTGTATGTATTTTCATGTTTTAAGTACTTAAAAGTTATCTTTACTGAAAAATAGTTTAAATAGAAGAGTATGAGTGCAGTAAATTATACAGATGAATTAAAATTTGCCTTCTTTAGTATTAAAATACTAAAATATTTCTCTTTAAAATACGTGAATTAAAATGTGTCCTCTAAAAATACGTTTAAAATATATATTTTTATATAATGTTTTAAATGTATTTCCATGATTATTCTGGCTAAACGTATATTTCTTTACTAATAAATATGTCCAAATAAAAAGTATACTCGAAATTTAATTTATATTGATTATGTGTTTAACTCTAAACTGTAGAAAAGTTACCTCAGTTTCCCATCCTTAGCAGCAGGAGAGTCCTGGACTACAAAGAGGATGTGAATATGCTGTGCCCCCCGGGTAGGGTCCTCTCCCCCCACGATGCTGAACCCCAAACTGGCCCCCGGGCTACGAAACAGGGTCACTGTCTTGGGGAATTGAAGGCACCTGTAACCAAAAGGGGCTATGAAATAGTATATTACGCTACAAGGCCAGGAAGTATTTGTTTACAATAGGAGCGTGATAGTTCCGAAGCACATAGTTTCATGCGAGTACTGTAAACACCCTCCCTGAATAAACTTAGACTGAAGAAATCACCCCATTTATAACCACCGGTCAATTTTTATTAAAAAAGAAAATAGTGAATAAGCCAGTCACAGAGTATGGTAGTGTCTAAAGTCTTTTTCTACCTTATTTTTTTGTTACAGAGATAATGTATGTGGCACAGAAGATGCTTTAGTTTACAATAAATCGTTCAGTTCAGTTTGAATTGGTTAAAAAGTCTGTATATTTAACAGAAATTAGAAATTTACATTAGCAAAATCTGTAAGAATGCTTGGTGAATTCACTATGTATCAGAAAACTTTTACTGAGCCCTTTTTGAAAAAGGATTTCTAGTTTAGAAAGATACCAAAAACCAGGTGCTTACTGTGGGGTGTGGCAAAATAGAGTTGTTAAGCAAAACATAACTTTTTTGTGTCCTGTTTTTTTAGATTAATGACCTAATATCAACACTAAAAAAACAATTGGAGCAGAATTCTATAATCATTTAACACCCAGTATTGGGACGACTTGTGTCACCTTGGTAGCTTCTGCCAGTAGAGCCAGGAAGGGATGAAGTTGAATGCTCCAAGGGAGGTTTCTGGACCCTCTACCACAGTCATCTCAACACGTGTAGTTTCCACTGTAGCCTTGAGAGTAGCAACAGCCTGTCCATGGGTTAGTCCAACCAAGCTATTGCCGTTCACACCTATTAGGATGTCTCCTTTCTGCAACACAAGTCCAAAGTTACATTGTTATTAATTGATTGAGAGACAGCTAAGGCAGTGGCGTGAATAACATCCCTGCAGCCAGAGGTCCAGGGGGCACCAAGGTCGGACTGTCACCGCTCACCGCAATCACGGCTAAAGGTGACGTTGTTTCCACAACCGCGGGAGACGATGATGATATCCTCAAGAGCGAAGAAGACATTCAAGATTTTACCGCAATTACAGAAAAAAATGTCACCGTTTACGTGACCTCAGGAGACGATGTTAATCTCTTCAAGACTAAATATCATATTTATTGTTTTGCCACAATTGCGGAAAAAGATATTGTTGTTTCCGCGACCGTGGGAGACGATAATGATGTCTACAAGACCAAAGAAGATATCCAAGATTTTGGCACTATGGTGGAAAAAAGTGACACTGTTCCCGTGGGAGACGTTGATCATGTCTACCTACATATTAAAAATTTGGCTGCGATCACGGAAAGTTATGACAATGTGTATTTTATATTTTGAATACTTCATATACTTTTTTTGTGACGGACACAAAATATATACCAAATGGTTTCAGCATAGTACTAATTCCAGTCATGGTTTCACTTAGTATTATCACTTAGCTTAAGACCATTTGTGATTGGTTGGCATTGAACCCAGACCTTCAGCACAGTAAGTATAACCACAAGACCTGTTATGCCCCTATTGCCAGGTATTTTTTTTTAGTACAGTTACTAACTATGCCATAGTTATTATTGTTTTTCAATGGAGAATATACCATTTCTATACAGGTTCTGTCTTATAACTAGGGTGAAACGAGGTTGGTATTGTTAAACAATGTTATGTGTTTAATTTCTAAGTATTGGTGACAAAATGACACCAATTTAGGTTTCCATACCCTCACAGATAGTGGATAAGAGACAAATTAAGATTTTTTTCAAAATACAATTGGATCCCTAATATACAACCTCGGAATTTCTTTCCTCGGTGTATCTGGTCACTTACTGAGATCCATACCAAAAATATTTCCCACGGCTGTACACGTAGACTCCATGATTTGAGCGTTCTCATGGTTTATCTGTTTCCTATTCATATAAATTTTTTAACGGGGTCAATAAATCAGTCGAGCTAGTGGATTTCAAAAAGAGACAACCACTAATTATAACCAATCACAAGTTGTTATTAGATAGAAATTATCGTCTGTACATATTATGTAGGCAAATACATCTTTTTTACAGGATATTGAATTTTAGCTATTCTGTAGAAACTCTTATATTTAAGAATAAAACACCAAAGAAACAGTAGGTTTTTATACATCATTTTAAAGGTTAATTACTAAAGAAGCTTATAGTAATATTTGACACTCTCTACAGTCCAGTTAATATTGAAAATAGTTGGCAAAGGTTATTGTGTTTTTCTCAAAAATTACAAATTCAAACTTCCATTGTAGAATAAGGGCTTATAAAGAGGTTTTATCTCAATGACTATGTACTATTGTTGTTGGAAACTGAACGCAGATTCTAGAAATGACAAACAATCCTAAATAAAAACAATGTTTAGTGTACTTTCGGCCATTTTATCAAAGCAAGGCTAACGTTTTTTTGAGATAGAACACAACAATAACAAAATAAAAGCGTGTTTTTTAAGTATTAACAGTTTTTACCGGGGACAATAATGTATGAGACAATTCATGTTTACTCATACTCTCATTGACAAGCTGGCTATTATTGACTTTCACTTTGGCTGTGCTATTATTAGTACCAAGGGTTAGTTTACAATACAAAAACTATAAAAAAAAAAATTTGTAAAAAAAAGTTTCAGCCAATCAATTAAAAAGATAAATGATGAATTAACATGATTAATGTACAATTATATACTATTAACTGTAGAAAAAAAGAATATAATTAAAGATATGAACAGAAAGAATGATAATATCTACCCAAATCTGCTGAGTTTTTCCTACACAGCCGTGGGGATGAATATTGGCGATGTAGATGGGAATGTCACCTTCATTGCTGCCGAGTCCCCCACCAATTCTCATTCCGAGACTTTCATTGGGCTCCTGCGAATGTATGAATATAAATATATATGATGTCAGATATCATTGGAAGGCGTATCAGATTATACACTTATTAATCACAGATGACAGATGTGCTTACATTCTGAACAAAATGATGTCCTGAGTAAGAGACTCAGGATTTAATTATTAATTAAAATTATATGATTTGAATTGAATCATGTTACTATACTTTTTTCTTACCTCATGAACAAAGAAATCATCAATAATTTAGGAAGGCCTCTTCCACCAAGCTCTGCCACAGATGTACTCCTTATGAGTTGCTCCACAGAGAAGAAAGATACAAAGGAATCACGCTTATTAGAAAAATGAGCACTTTCAGCTCTGGTATGTTGTGCTGGAGTTATACTTGTGACAAGCACGGAAGATCCCGAACGGCGAGCACTGTGAGAAAATTCGTATCAGGGTCTTCTTTCACTGTAAGCGTTGTAGTACATGAAGGCGAGAGGTGTGGTGTTGGACTTTTGCCCTAGACACCACTTAAGTGTACCATGGACGGTATCCTCTGTTCCTTGCTTCTCTGTGGTTGCTCACATTTTGAACATAAGTATTGTTAAAAAACGAGAGACAACATCTTTTTTTTATTCGTAGCGTAGGCCTACTGTAAATAATGTATTCTTGTTTAAATGTTTTGTGAGTTTTTTAAAACTGTGACGTGATATCATGAGTACAAAAACTTCAAGTTTTGTAAAAAGGATCTGATGATGGTATAACAATATACCGAAACGTTTAATCCTGTTGGAGGACCACTATAGGCAGTCTGCAGGTATTGTAACATTCTTATTATGATTTGATTTGAATGAGTGGCCTTGAAAAACAACTACAACATGAAATAAGTACTGTTATTAAATTTGGTCAGCTATAATCAAATTCTTCTCATTTGGTTGTGTTTTTACACAAAGTTATTAAAATGATAATAACAAAATTACTGAGGGTTATTTTCTTATTATGAGTATCTTACACATATTTATAAACATTGATAACTCATGTAATTAGGATTTTGTTTATCATAACTTAACCAGATAATAAGTGAAGCTTCATGGATAACAAACATTACCTTGACGATTGTGATGAACTTGTGTTGTAGTTCCTGTGAGGAGAAGTCTCTATTGAGGTTGATGGTGGCAGCATGGTGAGGGGGCATTGGGGCTGGAGGAGTGAGGGAATCACACGAGACAGACTTATGACTCAAAGGAGGGTTGGAGGAGAGGGAGGGAGAGGAATCGGAATCATGGGACTCCGGAGCAGACTTGGTGCGAGAGTGAGAGACAGGGAGAGAACTGCGCTTACGAGCCACGACCAGAGTCACCTTCTCTGAGCTCTGAAACATGTAGAGGAATCAGAAACATTACAGGAACTACAATGAGGAATCAAAAACAAAGCTTAAATTTTAATGAGAAATCAGACACAATATGGAAAAAAAATTGAAGAATCAGAAACAATATAGATTGAAAAACGGTTAAGGATAATAGGAAATCAGAAACAAGTAATATGCACAAGTCAGGAGAAACTAGAGACAATACAGAAAAAAATAAGTCAGAAGCAATGCAAATCTAAATACAAGGCAAGAGGGGTACAAGCAGATACACAAATTGTGCATAGGAGTTAAGAGGAGCCACAAATAATGTACATCAAAAGGTTTGAGACAAGAAAAACTAGAAACCATGGCTACAGATACAAAAATAGTAAAAACTTGGGGTTAGGAGACAAAATATATTGTAAAAGAATTACAAACATTAAAATGAGGAGAAATCAGGAACAAACAGATACAAAAATTACAAAAAAATTGGAGTCAAGAAAAACCAAAAATAACATATAAATGGTAACAGTTAGTAGGTATAACAAATATTGTAAAATAAATATTAAAATGTGATAGGGCTAAACAAAAGTAGCCCTGTTCTAAAAATATGTACAGTACAAAGGTTGATTAGTAGAATACTAACTAATACGGATTCAAACAAAACCACAATAAAAAAGCAGAATCTTTTCCTCTGAACTGATGAATTATATTTAACAAACAAACGGATAACTTAATTTGTTTCTAACTTAAATTTGGTGTTGTAAAAACTCTACGAAGTCAAATTAAAATAGTTGTATACAAATGAGAACCAATTCAACAGAACACAAATAAATTTATAACTTTTATTCCGTTTAATGAAATTACTTTATCAAAATAAAATAAATAACAACATTAATCTGCAAGGTTTGGCAAAGTTGAGTGCCTTATATTATATTCAGTTTGCACACATTTGGTACTGTAAATGCTTCATAAAATCCATTTAATGCCATTAGAGTTCGAGATGTCTAAAATTGTACCTAGTTAAATTTTTATTTCAACAAAAGGGGTAGTTTAAGATAATCTTGTTATCTTACGCTGTTAAAATAAGTTATCTAGTGAAAGAGCATTAGATATATTTCAGTTTGGAGTAAGGGAAAATGTAGGGGAAACAGTCAGTGAAAAAATTACTTTAGAGCCAATTGGGGCATAACCTACATGTAGTTGGAGAACTTGCCTTCACTAAAGTGAACATCATGTCTTATCTCCAATAAAAGATAAAATACCCCCGCCCCAGCAAATCTGCAGACTAAGCGAAATTCCATTTACCTGATTGGATTTTCAATTATTAAAATAACATTAGGTTTAACAAGTACCTTGGTATGCAGCTACAGGGAGGTTAATAAAAAATAAATAAATTTACAAAGTTTGATTAAAATACATCCATAAACAAGCAAACTACAACAGTTAACTTATTCTCCATAAGGATAACATGGAAATTTTAAATGATTTTTTTTTTAAGTCTCCGTAGCCAATAACCGTACAAAAACACTTCAATGTACTAAATTATTAGTTTTTTATGCCCTTTAAAATGGTTTGAAGATAAATTAGGAAATTTTATGTTTTAAGGGCCAAAATTGAGAAAAACCAAATTCCACCCCATAAACCCTCATTCCCATGATGGGTTCGTGTTCATGCTGGTTCCCAAACTGATTCAAGTTTATTTCACCTTACATCTTCAAGCTAAATTTTATCACAAAAAATACTCAAGTTATCGCGTTCATGGACATATATATATATATACCAAGTACATATTTGAATGAATAGTTTTTTCCCCTCTAGGGACATCAAAATGAAAAAGTATATATTGGTTCCGGGTCCAGGTCTTACCGTGCCACCTGCGGTAATAGCTACTTCCCAATAGGGAAATTCGCAAAAAGGCTAATGGTAAATTTCATTGAATCTAGGAGTTTATTTTTGTCAAAAGCAAAAAAAATTTGGTAAATAAATATTTTGCTCATTCTTTAAATAGATATTATTGAAAAAGAGGTTTGTATTTTAAAGCATAGGCCTACTTGACCTTTTTAACTGCAAAAATAATTTTTTTAACAAATTAGTTTTAGATAACTTTTATTTCTAAACATAAATAAATATTCTTCCACAACTTTCTTCAGAACGTTTACCTAAAATCTACAAGGTTAATTCGTAAAACAGAGTTTTTAACCATGTGGAAGGTGTTAGAAAATTATGAAGTGTTTTAATCTTAAATATTGTAGGCTACAATATAAGTGAATGTTAAGTATTTTAAGGGCTAATAATATATTATTAAGACCTGAAACCACACTGCAAAGGAGCTTATCATATAAGCTTATCAATGTCTAAGCTGATTTTAGACTTACATCACCTAACAGAATGTTAGTATTAAATACTTCTTAAAATACCGTAACTGAATAGAAAGTATAACATACTAACCAATAAATATTAACAAAACAGTGACAATTACATACAACAATTTTAAGCCATAACACAATTCTGATTCAATAATTCAACCATAGAAATTACTAATAAATTAATGACAAATGAAATATTATACTTTAATACTTTTCTTTGAAATGGCGACCATACAAAGTAGGTATTTTAAGCCAAGTATGAATGGAGATGAGTGTAAGATGAGTGGCGCGATCTTGTAGTCTTGTTAGTTACTAAGGCCGACATATTCCTTAGACACAGCTGTTAATTAATAGCCCACAGCTAATGGCGACTAAGGGACCTACAGTTTATAGTGGAATCCGAACCACTTTTTTCCTTGGTAAATACGAATTGGTCTAATTATCAGGATAGTACTGCAGATAGTCGTAGTACTCACTAGTGCGGACGTTAATCCACACCAGGGAGTATCGCATCCACAGTGCATGCCTATAAATATCCACAATTCGTGACCTCCTAGTAGCTGGATTACAGGACGACGCCACCCGTCCCTGATATGATCATTGAATTATGATGTTTGAACAATATTAGTTCAAATAAAAATATTAGTCCAGCATCTATAAGGGGTTGAGTATGCACTAAAAGTGTAACTACAGTATTGTTGATTTTTGGTTGTTGTTGGGGGCATCTTGGAGTTGACAAAAACTGATAATGTCGCCCTCCCATAGCAGGTGCCTAACTTACAGGGAGGGGCGGAAATATTGTGAAGGTGCTTTTTAGAACAATGCTCATATCTTGTACACTAGACATGATAGAAACATGCTCCAAACGGCATTGTATTACAAAATTAATCTGCTTCAAAAATTTTGCCATAAAAATCTCGTATCTATGATATTAATTGAGTTATTCAACATTTTATTTTAAAATGTGTATTAAACACTCCAAACAACGTTAAAATGCCCATTAAAAACACTTCAGACAACAAAAAGGACAGTTTGTCATTGTGCGTTGAATGTTCAAGACACTAAAATCACTTTATATGGTAATTATTATACAATATTACATGGTTAAGCAAGGTTTCTGGTGAAGCGGCACAGCGACGCGGGTGATGCCGCTGCGCGGCAGAGATCAACGTGTATTGAAAAAATAGCGTAGTGTTGAACAACTATACATATTTTCTCGTCGACTCGGGAACCTCATATTATTTTGAGGAAAGAAGGAAAGAACGTTACATGGTGTATATTTAGTGTTTAAAACCCACAATTCACATCAAACGCATTGAGTTTTATAGGTTTTTAGTTTAAAATAGACATTTTAAAATACAAATTTAATCACTCAATTATTAATATAAGTAAGGGATTTTTCTGATACTTTTATTTATAGCAGATTAAGTGTTTAATACAATGCCATTTAAAGCATGTTTCTATCAAGTCTACAACCACCAAAACCTATCGCACGAGATATGAGCAATGTTTTAGAACACGCCTCCGCGCTACTTTCCCCCCTCCCAAGTTATGCAGAGGAAAACATAGTTTTTTCTCATCTCTAAGATGCTCCCAACAACTATCAAAAGTCAAAATGTGTTACATTTTCAGTGCATACCCAAGTTTTACAAGTCTGTGTACTACACGTCGATCTCTGCCGCGCAGTGGCATCACCCGCATCGTCGTGCCGCTTCACCGGAAACCTCACATAACCTTGTGATATTGTATAATAATTACCATATAAAGTGATTTTAGTGTGTTCAACAATCAATGCACAATGACAAACAGTCCTTTTTGTTGTCTGAAGTGTTTTTATGGGCATTTTAATGTTATTTGGAGTATTTAATACACATTATAATTTAAAATGTTAAATAAGTCAACTAATATAGATACGAGATTTTTATGGCCAAATTTTTGAAGCAGATAAATTTTGTAATACAATGTCGTTTAGAGCATGTTTCTATCGTGTCTAGTTTACGAGATATGAGCATTGTTCTAGAACGCGCCTTTGCACTACTTCCCCCCTCCCCCCGAAGTTTTGTGTACCTGATGGGAGGGCGACAACATCGGTTTTTGTCATCATCAAGATGCCCTCAACAACAATCAAAAGTCTACAATAGTTACACTTTCAGTGCATACTTAACACCCTATAGATGCTGGACTATATAATGATTAAAAAAAGTAAACTAACCGACTAAACAACAGCTGTTCTGTCTTTTGTGATAATCAATAACAAAGGGGAAATAGAGTCCCCCAGAAACCATAAATCATAATGGGAGCCTGACTCAATTAGTAACTTAGGATAACTCCCTATTGTATCAGTTGTGATTGCAAATACAGAGTTAAACTCATACATGCAATAGCTATTGATATATGTTCTAGTGGAGGTTAGAGGCTTATGGTAGCAAGTAAGAAAGAAATTATGAATGTAAAACTTTATAGAATTGTTTTTAAGTTTGTAAGTCTTATCAAATCAAATTACAGAGATCCACTGGATTGCGACAAAAGAAGCTCGAGTTGGCAGCCCTGCTTCCTCTACTACATTACATTAATTAATTTATTGTGGGTAAGATTTAATACATCTTTCTCTAAAATGCAACCCATGTTACAAATTTTAAAAATTAATGCACATAGTTGGAGAAATAAGTATTATAATATTGAACTGTAAGGTTTACATATCCTGTGTTTGATTTATTAGGTACTAAGGATCTTACCCCAAAAACTAAGTTGCAAACAGTCCTTGGAATAACATGAATAATTTACTTTTAATCTTTTTTACAATACATCGGTACCTACTCCTGGAACTTGAGAAAACATAATGATGAGTCGTATTTACAATAAATCCCCAATCCTAAACAGTTGTAGACAACAATGCTAAAGCTAAAATATGTATTAGCTGACCGGTATAAATGAAGTAAAGGAAGCAAAGCTGCCAACCTTTGAGCTTGTTTTGTCCCTAAACAGTAAATCTCTGTACTTGAAATTTGGGTTGGCTAAAAAAATCCTGTTGTATAACATTTCAACCTTTGTTAGTTTATAAGCATTCATTCCTTAAAAGTAGGTTTGTGATTTAGGATTTCACAAAATTAAAACTTGCTATACTGGGGTGTTTTAAGGGTATTTAAGCACTTTTCACAGTTAAACAGCAGACTTTAAAAAATACAGTTTTCACCGATAACATAGAGGGAGACTCTTGATGGCACTAAACAGACATATCATCTGTGAACTTTTCTGAGCCTAAGGATGTATTATTTTGAGTTCTAAGTATTCTTACGAGGACTGTATCACCTCCTATCATAACTAGGGCCTTACCCATAAAAATTCCCAATTATTGCAAATATGTAAATGATACGTGGGTAACTGTGTTTCACAAGTTGGCGGCTCAGTAAGTAGTACAACAAACTAGGAAGGCATCAATGGGATTATGGTGATAATACGGGGACTATGTGATTCAAAACCCACCACTTAGCTCAATACAATTTAATTAGATTTGTATTAGGTGAACAGTACTAACATAGATAAAATATACTCCCTTAGTAGATTTCTCATCCTTATGGAACAGCTGAAGACAATTTTATTGTTAGTTCTGTACGGTTTATGTAGAGGTCGTGTTTTGTTTACAATTTTGTTTCCCGTTATTTCAGTCATTTAAAACCTAGTTTAACCAAATAAAACTATATAATCATAAACAATAACTTGTCCCCTAGTTAAATAACCAAACAGTAAAGCACAAATCAAGAAATTAACCCTAAAACAATAAAAACAAAATCTCGTAGACACTAGCACCCAGTGTCACCGTACATGAACTAGACACGAAAAACATGCTTCAAAATTTACAATGAGAAGAGTCTACTTGTGTTGCTTAGTCTATGGTACTAAATTTATATCCACTATATCCTTGACCAGGTGACTTGAGCTAGTAACCTTGCTAATATAAAACTAACCTAAGTCTAACCTCTTAATAAACTTGTTTACACTTATTTCACAAAGAGATCATATTTACCTGAAGCAATGTTGAGACTTGCTGGAGTTGGCTGTTGGCGACGTCTTCTTCGTTGACATAGAGAATGCGGTCGTAGGGGCACAACAGGTTGGTGAGAGCGGCAGGACTGCCGGGTACGATCTCTGTGATGTAGATGCCGCTCTCCATCCATGAACCGCTCAAACGGATACCTAGGGCCTGCTGTGACTCACGTTCTATGGTCACAGTCACGGTCACTGAAAATAGCATAGCACATGTTGACTATTATCAAAATAAGGTTCAAGAATATATTAGCTTTCTATGATATAATTTTTTTGTGATCATAAAGCAGTAAAAAATATACGTTTTGCAAATATCCATAGTTTTTCTTTACATATATAATTTGTCCCACCTTTAAATCCTAGGATGCTAGTTCTAGCTCAGAACTGTTTTACACATTACTTCAAGCTAGTCCTAGAGGGTTGCGGCATTGTCACATGGATAAAATCCATTGGTGATTGACGGGATTTGAACCCGGGACCTTGGGTAACGAAGCCCCACGCTCTACTACTAGACCAGCTCGGTCCCCCAAGTACCATGAATAGTAATAACAAGAAAAATTTAAATAAATTATATTTTAAAAAATACTATATAAAGTTACTACCGGTACACATTATTATTTACATAATAGATTTTAGATATAAAATCTAAACTTTGATGGTAAATTAATTATAAAATTATAATAGAATAGAATTGTAGAAAATGATTCAATATGTTCAATAGAGCTCACAATTAGTAGCCTAACAATTTTCTCTTTGGACTTACAGGAAATTTCATCGAGGAACATAAACTATCAGATCATATTTGTTTTTCAAATTCTAATTATTATTATTTATTATATAGTATTTATGATATGTTTTTCAAGTAAAACACAGTCAAAAACATAAAAAAAAAAAAAAAAACTAAATCAAGTTCATTAAAAACTACGATTTGACTTTCGGGGTCCCTCAATCACGGTCGAACAAACCGTCATCACACTAACTCTGTCACCCATACACGGTCAAACTGACCAGTCCTTTATGCGAACATACAAGACACTAAATCTAGGAAAAGGGCGAGTGTGGGAAATCATTAATGTTGTTCCTAGAAAGATATGCACGAGGTACGGTGGCGGTGAACACTGCCGAGGCCCGTTAAATACAAGTTTTACTAAAATTATTACCAACCCAGTCTTTTAGACCAGCATGTGAGTCCTCCCGGGTTAGTTAAAAAGGGATTGAATTTGATATTTTTAAGGAAATGTTTTGACGAAAATCAAATCAGCAAATGGAAATTTTCTTAGTCTGCAGGTTTGCTGTGGAAGGGGGTATTTATTGACAACCAGAACATTGCAACTTACCATGTTGAGCATCATTCGGACCATTGTACGGGGCAATCCGCTCTCTGTAAACACCTAGGCGAAGAACTTGAGACTTGAGTTTTCTGAGGGCCTGGCATGCCTGCAAGATTACATTCACATAAATGTTTAAAAATTCACACAAAAAACAACATATATTGTTAAAATAAAGAGAGATGACTTTTTTATAGATAAATGTCATTGGAAATGTGACAAAAACTCATTAATTAAATCCATTAATTTGAGGGAATTTTCACCAACAAACTATGTTACTGTGACTGTACAATGAGCTTTTTTTATTTGCTCAAGCTATCTGAAACTAATTTGACTATTTTAAAATAACTATGAGAGTCTGAGATAAGTTACAGGAAGTGTTTCTGAAGATTACCATTACTTGAAAATCAAATCATATACCTACGTTATTCAGGTCCGTATTATATGACTGGGTGATAGATTAAAAAAAATAACTCTTTTAGTAATGTTACCACATTACTAAAAGAGTTGTGAGGTCTGTGAGGAGCTGAATAACTTAGGTATATTTCAGACTAAGACAATTTAATTTTCTGACAGTAAACTACGTATACCATGTTTGTAAATTGTTTTTAACTTATTTTAAAAGAAATAAAAGAATATATTATCTGCCCAGAAAATATTTTTTAACTATAGTGTTAGTTAATGGTTCAATTTTAAAAACATACCAAATCATTGTTTATTGTAACCAAATATCTTGATAAAAAAAGTACTTGGTTAGAAACTTGAAAATAAAAAAAGCATAAAGATTTGTGTCAACAGCAGAGGATAAGTATAATAAAAATAGAGTCTACAGAGGGTTTTTCAATATTCTTCACATAATATGCTGAGAATAATTTATCAAAAACAGATAAAATGATCCCAAAGCTAAGGTGATCCCATCCACGAATGATAGATAAGACCCGGCATGGATCATAAACATAAACAAATGACGTTTTTGGCCCAAAAGTAAACATTATTTAACATTGTTTAAATGGAACTGTCTAAACCATATGTTAATGCTATTACTATAGGATTCGGGCCAAAAACGTCATTTGTTTATGTTTATGATCCATACCGGGTTCTTTCTAGTATTCGTGATCCTATGGCTAGTTTACAAGGGGCATAGGATAGACGGTTTTTTTTGGTGGGTTGCCAGAAAGAATTGGAAAGAGGCATCCCCACATACCCTTAGTGTGCGGTCCCATTAATGCATCTTCAAGTCAATTTTCACGTCTCACAAAAAAAAAAAAAAAACTTCACACATTTTCTGTTTATGGTTCCCAGTCCGACAATGAATAATGGAATAGTTAGAGGGTTGATTTCCAGCCCTTACACAATTATTACCTTATGTAGGCTGTGAAAATTTCCATTTTGGAATGGATTCTATTTTCGGTGGGTGATCAGACTTCTCACAGAATGCCAAAACGGATAAAGATTTTCAAGGCCATTTTTACACTGCCTAACATATTTCCGCACTTAATACCCTCACTCAGTGCATTAGGGCCCCAACCATCAGTTATCTGATGAAGAATGTAGGCATTGGATATGTTTTTTGAGGTAAAAATACACCATAAGATAGCACTGACCTTATCACACATGCGGCACGAGATAACATTTTTTTTAAACTTTCTAAACACACAGTGAAGCCAAGCTTACACATTATAGCTACAGAGCTGTAAATGGTGCCATTCTGCTCAACAATGATACCAGAATGAGGCGAGTTGCTTGTTGTGCATACACAGGAACTACTGAGCTACCTATACGCAAAACGGCCCTTACTTAAAAATCAACCCTCATACATATATGAATTTGAATGGATGGTGTTTTGGCCTCTGACGTTAACAAAACAATAAAGTAAATCGGTTCCGGATCATGGTCTTATGGTAATAGCTTATTCCCTATGTGGGAAATAGACTGAAACTTTTGTGTTAAATAAATACTTGTAATTTTATTGAAATGTTCGAGTTGGCTGCATTAAATCAGGTGATGTTCAATCAAATGAAGGACACTCATGGTTTACTTATGATCACATGGACCTATTCCTCACTCTTATCATGAGTCTACAGCGATGGTCCTACCAACAAATACCTTATGTTGTGTGACAAACAGCACCAGTGTTAGTTGTTGTCATTCATCTCTCTTTCCTCATATAGGTTACAGTCGTCTAAGTGTAGGATTATCAATAGCTACACTGCAGTTTACTTCAGCCTACCTGATGGTGAGAAGCTGTGCTCATGTCAACTCCATTGATCTCAACCAGTTGGTCTCCGGGCTTGAGGCGGCCGTCTTGGGCCACCAGGCCATCGGGAAACACTTCCTGGACTACTATACAGCGCTGCAACACAACATGTTTGTTAGCCACACAAATTGCACATAATTACCAAAACAGTAATATTTAATACAAATGGATTATTTAACAGTAAGTTAAATTATGACATTTTGACACACAGTTTTGAAAGGTCAAATTTTAACAAGGTAAAGTGAAAGGGTCATACATGTTGTAATCTCTGGATTTTTGGTTCTCAAAAGAGTGAGAAAGGGTTGAATTCCTGCCCAGCCAACATCAAACAACATCAAGTGCAGACAGGTCAATGACACTATACCCACAGCAAAATCCTATTATCTATGCTGTTCTATTTTAGAAGGACCCATGTTTATCTATAGTCATAAATACATTCATTCCTAGGCTTCTGTAGCCGGCTTTATTATTAGTAGTGATTTCGGCGTCAATCGCATTGATAGTTGGCGATTACAGCCAATCCTCAGAGGATAGGCTGAGTCTGATTATTAACCCCTATTCAAAGTAAGGGGTTTGTATAGCAGCAATCTCAAATTGATATCGTGGTTAATGCAGAAAACCACTACATGGCTCTAAGCCACAGATACAGTTAAAAGAGGTTTAACAATTAACAAAATAAACAACAACCACCGTTTGCTTACAATTCCAATAAAGGAACAGGATTACAATAAAATGTATAGCTGTAGCAAATGGTTATCCAAGCTTTATGATAGATGAACTTATCTTCAAACATCAAAATAAAACAGGAACTAAAAAACAGATCAGTTTCATCCCTGCAAAATATGGCACCTTCATGAGCAACAAATATAATAATCTTATGACAAAAAACAATATTATCGTTTCCTTCAGAACAGAAAAAAACTTGTTTCATTGTTAAAGGGGCACAGTCCTTTGATGACACAACCTTTGGATAGATCTGGCGTATACAAGATCAATTGTACCGATTGTACAAAATATTACTCGGCCAAACGTCACTCTCCTTTACAAAACTTTTCAAGGAACATCTTAAACATCTAGGAACTTCTAAAAGCGTCAACAGCCCACCAATCATCATCTTTTGCTGAACGTTTGATTTCTCAAGACCACAATTATACCAACATTAATAGCAACATGAATATTTTACTTATTTCTAGGGACAGGTTTAAAGTAAACGCCTTGGAAGAGTTTGAGATATATAAGGCAGTAAATTCCGACCATAAAAATTTGCTAAAGGACCAACTGTCGTTTTCTTCCAATTTTATGCAAGTCACTGCCATCAGGATACTGGAAAGGGAAAGTGTGATAGAAAGGACACAACCTGAGATGATAAGATAACGGACATACACCACTGCATTGACCACCCGCAGTCTGGACCACAGGGTCTGGACCACAGGGTCTGGACCACAGGGTCTGGACCATAGGGTCTGGACTTCAACTCCGCCGGGTTTCCGTCGTTTGTTGTCATAACTGATCAGTTACCGTAGATGTTGTCCGTGCATGTGTCGTGTGTAAATGATTATTTATTTTGATGTGTTAAATATGACGCTTTTCATGTGAAGAAAGAAGAAGTCTTTGTACTGATGATGGCTCCACATAGGAGTCAAAACTAATTGTGACTGCAATTAAGGTACGTTTTGCTTGGAGCGACAGTCGCGGGACACTGATCTTAGGGGTTTTGCATAGTCCTGTTTTGCTTGGAGCTACTGTCGCTAGAGCCGCTGCTCCAAGACCAGTCAGGAGCGCCAGTCCTGATTGTTTTTATAGTGTACAACTTTTTGACAGGTTCGACGACCTTTTATTTTCGCTATATGGCGTTGTCACACTACACACACTAATACATACACACCTTAATACATTCCTTAATATATAACACACCTTAATACATTCCTTGTAGCAGCAAACCTAAGTACTCATTAAAATTAATGTTATTTAAATAGGAAATAAATCTGACAATGTTAAGGGAATATTTTAGTAGAAATCTAGCCAGGTAAATGGAAATACGCTTAGTCTGCAGGTTTGCTGCGGCGGGGGTATTAATTAATTATATCTATTCATTAGCATTGTCAATTTTATTTTACTACAGAATGTATAGAAAAAAATGTGTAAATGCAGTTGGGAATATACGTGTACTCCACATTCTCATACAAGGGTATAACGCAATAAGATACAAAAGAGCAAAGTGATGATTTTAATTGGCTACTCCATCACAAGAACTAACAAGTGAATTCTTCTAACTTCTGATTAATGCTTTTACAGAAAATTTGTAAGAGAAATGTACACTTAATAATTAGCTTGTAAATTTTATGGTTCTATTTAAACATACAAACCATAGACATAATTAATTAATGTTAATTAGTGAAACAAAACTATTTTACAATGAGAGATATTTATAGTTTTAACTACAATAATTCTGATTTTTGTATCCATATTTTATGTCCTACTTTGATGGAAAACAAACACAGAAATTTTATTCCGATTTTATTTGGTTTGGTTCTAATCCCAAGTATCCAAATAAAGTTGCAAGGCAAATTTTAAAACTCTTCTAGTTTATTTAATACATTATTGCCAATTATATTGAAGCAGATGCCATAGTTATCTTTTCTATATACTTTACTGGGTACTGATCCACTGAATAATGGTATTATCATATGGATGAAATTAATTGGTTATTGGGGAGATTTGAACCCCAGCCCGAAGGACAGTCGTAACCTCTAACCTTGTCAACAGAGATGTTGAGAGATCTCTCAACAGTCGTCACTTAATCTCTGGATCGGTCTTACTCCTAGTTTTTATAGGTTATAATTATCTGAATCAACAGATTACAATAATTTAGATAACACAAATAACACTTTTAAAAATTAATTATTTGACATTTTAATTTCTTCTAATGAGAAATTCTTCAATTTTGAACTTTGAAAGTCTTATACTCGAGGGGATTTCAAATGAAAGTTCTGCACTGACATTTAAAACCTTGATGAGTCGACACAAATAATCAAACTAATGTTTTAATCATTTGTTGCTCGGCCAAGAATAAATATAAAATCTATTTTTTCTGCAGGAATATTTTCTTTACAAGAAAACAAGTGATATATCTGTAAAAAAATACAATTTGTATAATTTCGATACATTTATAAAAAATGATTAAGATGACATGATTATAGCATAAGTCTTGACATCATTTGTTGAATAAAACTGAATTCAGGAACTATACTAAATCATTGACGAAGTGTTAAAATATTTAAATAAAAATGTTTTGGCAAGTATTTAACAATCAAATATAAGGCTTTTCTGTTTTTTTTTTTTTAAACGAAACTAGTTTCTGATTTGCTTGATTTTAGAAATTTAAGATACAAAATTGCATGATTTTCAAGTCTTTTAACAACATGATCTTCAAATTATGAAAATGTTGGCAAATATCAATATTCTCTGTCAATGGACAGTTTATAGTAGACGATGGTTAATGTATAACTCTTAGACTTATTATCTCGATTGCATTGATCTATTTCAGGAGCTGACTTGTATTACCAATTCAGATGGTTTAATTACAAAGTCTTTGAGTGCTTTAATGCTTTTAGTCCACGGTTGTATTGTATTGCATGCGTAGTTAACCAAAAATATGCACCTTAACATCACTTAAATTAAACTAAAATAATTTATACGCGAAACGAGCAAAAATATTGAAAGTCTAACCTTGTCTGTTGTAGTAGATGAATAACATTAAGCTAGATAACATTTAAGGAATCTTTAGCCTTTTACCTGTCATTTTTGGAAAGTAGCCAAATTTCCAAAACCTGTTATTTCAAATTTTCACAACTTTCCAGTATTCATCAAAAACTGATAAATTATATACTAATAAAGATATTCTTATGATTTTTTCTTCTAAAATCATTAAAAAATCATGTTTTTCTATTTATATAGTGCTTTATAATCACAGGTTATTAGGTTTTTTATAACAAATATTTAACTGTTTGATATAGCTGGTTTTGGAAATGGAAGAAAGAATTAACATGTTTTGGAAATTTATAGGAAGCCATGTTGTTTCTAGTCAATTTCCAAACCCTGTTAAAACCATTTCCATTTCCATAACCAGTTAAAGAGGATTCAATAAAATAGCCTGTTTTTCAATGAAAAAACCTGTACCTACAGTAACCAAGTGCCTTTTGCTCTTCAGCTAGGTTTTGTCTTCTGAATAAAACTTCAATAGTTCATTAGCGTCCCAATTTTCACAGAAGTGCAGTTCCAAAAATCTTTTTACACCTTCAAGTCACGCCGACTTTACAGCAACTCCTTTTTTCATATGCCAACACTAATTTCCCTTGTTAAATAAATAATAATATTCCTAGTTATACAGTAATATACTACAGGAAAAAGTATTTAGGTCAAGAAAAATAGTTAGCTGGTTTTGGAAATGTTTTACAATGGCAGCCATACTTTACTTAAGTTATACAGGGTGTCTCAGACCACCCGGCCGGCTTGTATAGCTCCAATATGAAAGCAAATGGAAACCTAATTACAACTGGAACCCCCTATTTTGACCCCAAGGAATTCAGCTAAATTATTTTCAACCCTAAAAAAGCACCCCAAAGGGCAGATTTTGGGGGGTGGGGTGGTTTTTGGGAAAATTTCAAATGTAAAGGGGGGTCGTGTTATACATATTTTTAAAGGTCCTTTAGTCCTGAGTATTTTAGTGGAAAAAGATTTAAATTATCTTCATCCCTATTTACAGGGTGTTCAAAAACTTACAAAAAATAGACTTTTGAACTACTTTTCACTGTAAAGAGGTGGAATTTTGTGGGGGGTTCAAATTTGCATAACACTTTAATTAATAAATGAGCTTTCAAAAAACTCTGGTTTTAACCCTTTTGCTATCTTTTTACTTATGTTACGCATTTTCAAACTTTTTGAAGTTTCAACAGCTGTTATCTCAAAAATTTCAAATGGCAACATGGGTTTCATTACAAACTACATTGTAGCCCTTGAAATTTGCTATAATTTTTGTATTTAATGTTTTTTGGTATCTTCATTGGTTAAAGAGATATAGCGAAATTAGTGTATTT